TATTGTTGCTTTTGCCCAAGCCAAAGGCTAATGTTTGCTAAAATATTGTAATGTGAGCAATTTCATTATTCAGTCATGCTCTAATCCTCCAAGTCTCTCTCTGTCTTATTCAGCCTTTGAGGCTCAACTTGTCCGATTATCGTATAGGGTTTTTTATTATATTTTGACCGCTACTTATTTTCATTATTATTGCCAACACAAAAAAAAGTTTTAAGTAAAAGCTTTGTTATTTTACCTGTACCGACTGAAAATGTAATAACGGGCAGAATTGTATATATAGGGCGCCTCCAACAAAATATAATTTCTTTTTTTTTAATGGGACACCCTATATATTTTTGTCATTTTAAGTAGACTTGCATTTGCTGAATACAAGTATATAATATTTTAGTTATTTAGTGACTTATTGCATTATGAAAGCGTAACACACAGATGGCTATGAAAATGATGTTTCCAAGTGAAACAGTTGTTTGTTTATTAAAAGTTGTCAATTGATTGCTTGTAATGAGTTATACTGTGGCCGAAAAAGTTAAGGTATAACAACAAAGCTTATATATAATGGAAATAAGTAGTGTTCAAAATATAATGAAAACCCCTGTAAATAATTAAACCCCTTAAGACCAAACATATGTAACGAGATGTTTCTAGTTTGGCGGAGGGGCATTCTGGAAACCACCAAAATTTTAAATTTGTATATAAATATTGGCGGAGGAACAACGCAGTATCAGTTGTAGATAAACAGTGGTGAATATAAATAGTGAACAGTTTAAAGACATTCGAAATATATATAAATTAGAATAGTATTGTTTAAAATAAAAAAGGCTAAAAAACTGTGTGATTTAAAAGTGGCTGAATTGCGTCGAGAGTTAGAAGATCGTGAACTGCAGACGACAGGAAAGAAAGTAGAACTGACAGAGAGGCGTAAAGAAGCACTAGAAAGTGAAGGTTTGGATCCGGAAACGTATCTATTTTCTGATGATGCGTCTTCTATAATTTCTTTTTTGGAAAGTAAAATGTCTTCCATGAAAACCGATATTTCTTCTGACATTTCTTCTCTTGGAAAACAAAATGTCCTCTATGGAAAATATATTTTCGTTCAATATTTCTTCCTTAGAAAAAAGGGCGTCTTCCGAAATGTCTTCTTTAAAAAACAAAACTTCTGCTGATGTGGAAAATAAGATGACTTCCGTTGAGGAGAAAATAAAAGAAATGGAAAAGAAGATAAAAGAACTAGAATATACTGAACCGGCCAAGGACGGTGAAATAAAGTGCCATGAGGTGAAGTCGAAGTTGAAATTGGAAGGAGCTGTAATTTCTGCTCGTGTTAAAGCCCCAACTTTCGACGGGAAGATGTCATGGACCAACTACCTTAAACAGTTCGAGACAGCTGCGAGAGCAAACGAATGGTCTGAGAGAGAAAAGGCCGTGAATCTGACAATCGCCCTTTGAGGAGACGCTTTAGATGTTCTTCAGACTATACCAGTGGAATAGACAGATGATTTTGAGCAACTGAAACAGAGACTCAACATACGATATGGCCACGAACACTTGGAGCGATTACAGTTGAAGAATCGCAAACAGAAACGTGACGAGAGCCTTCAATAATTCGAATAAGATATTGCAAAGATGGTGCGATTTGCCCACCCATCAACTCCGGAATACATGATTGAATGTTTGGCTGTTTAAGCATTTGTAGATGGATTTCGTGACTATGAAATTCAAAGAACACTTCATTTAGCCCGTCACAAAACATTGGTCGATGTCTTGTCCGCTGCTCTTGAATATGAAGCGGCTACGCTGGCTTCTGGTGGATATAGTGAAGTAAGGACTGTAAAAGAAAAAGAACAGGGAAATAAATTGTTTCACATGATAAAAAACCTTATTGAGAAGCAACGGAAGACTATTAGGTGCTGGATTTGTGGTGAAATGTAAGCAGTTCGCGCAAACGCCCAAAAAACACTATGAATCGAAAAACCGTGCCGGTGGCTGTATAGGAAGGAACGGTGGGGTTGTCTGAAAGAAGTGAAACTATAAGAGTATGGCGGTTGCAAGGAACTGTAGAGAAAGCAACGCCTGTCATGGCGGAACCTTCGAAGGAAAATGAAGGTGTTGGTCATGGAACTCCAATTGGAAAGGGGTTGGCCACATCTGCTAAAGAAGTTACAGTACGAAGAACGTCGGTTTTCAGCGATAAACTTAGGGAAGAACAAGAGAACGAACCCGATTTAAAGAAGATAAGAGAATGGAAAGAGGAAAATCGTCGACCTACTTGGCAAGAGGTATCGAAACTCTCTCCAGTAGTTAAATCATATTGGGCTCAGTGGTACTCCTTTATCCTGGAAGAAGGCTTACTTAAGCGAGTACTTGAAAATGATTATGGTTCCCAGAAGAGAAGACAGTTGGTCATTCCAAGAAGTAGAGTAGCTGAAGTACTTCGTCAGTTACACGACAGTCCATCAGAAGGACATCTCAGTGTTAGAAAAACCCTTCAGAGAATTCGGGAAAGGTTTTACTGGATGAACAGTTCCGATGATGTAAAGGACTGGTGTAAGAAATGTACCACCTGTGCTATGAGTAATGGACCTCAACGAAAAAGGAAGGCTCCCATGAAGCAATACAACGTTGGTAGCCCATTTGAGAGGATCGCCTTAGACCTTGCTGGACCATTCCCAGCGACCGAGGATGGTAATAAACACATTTTGGTGGTTATGGATTATTTTACAAAGTGGGTGGAAGTCTATGCCATTCCAAATCAAGAGGCCGCAACTGTTGCAGATGTGTTAATAAAAGAGTTTATCTGTCGATTTGGAGTGCCCTTGGAGATCTACCGTGACCCAGACAGAAATTTTGAAAGTCAACTTTTCCGTGGAATCTGTGACAAACTTGGCATGAAGAAAACCAGAACCATAGCATTGCACCCACAATCCGATGGAATGGTAGAGCGAATGAATTAGACCATTGGAACATATCTGTCAAAAGTAATTTCAAATCATCAGCGAGATTGGGATCAGTATCTTTCGCTCTTTGCAATGGCTTATAGATCCGCTGTCAATTAATCAACAGACCAAAAACCAACAAAGGTCCTGTTTGGGCGTGAGATGAGACTACCGTGTGATCTCGAGTTTGGATGCCGAACTGGGGAACACATAGGCGCAACTCCAAATCGCCAGCGACAGGACCCAAGCTACGGAGGGATGTTTCAAGGAAGGCGAAAAGTCTGGCTTCATAACCCAAAAAGACAAAAGGGTTATTCTTCGAAGCTTCAAAGGTATAAGAAAGATCCCGAACAGTAAACCGAAGGTAGTTCACCAAGATCGGCGGGCTCCATTTGAGGGTAACCATGACGAGGAAGAAGAAGTAAACCAGCTCCAAGAAACACCTGATTTTGTCTTTGAAGAATTTATGGGTGCATATGGAGGTACTGGAAAAGCCAGATATGGTGTTACGACCAAGCAACAACAAGATCTTCTCTTGCTATGTGTTCCGTAAGAAGTTTGGTCGACTGCTAGAACTTCAGTGTCAGTTACCAGCCCCTGGAAAAGCCTTGAAACTTCAAGACGAATCGCGCTACCTTTTCTATTTGATAACGAAGAACACCTTCCGAGATCGATCCACTTATCATGATGTATGGGAAGGATTACTTAGTTTAAGGGAACACGTACTGGAGTCTAATGTACAGAAACTAGCCATGCCGAAGATAGAAGGAAATCAGCTGGATTGGAGGATCATTAGGAACATGGTGGAAGTAATCTTTTAAGATACCAGAGTCAAAATACTGGTCTGCAGCCATTCGCCCAGTGTCCTGTCCCCTTATTACTTCCATGCAACTGGAAATTGTAAAAGGGGTCAGTTGCAGATACAACCATTCCGTTTTAATTTCGTAAGAGTTCCAAGAGGAATTATCTCTTAAAGAGGGGGCAATGTAATGTGAGCCATTTCATTATTCAGTCATGCTCTAATCCTCCAAGTTCCTCTCTGTCTTAGTCGGCCTTTGAGGCTCAACTTGTCTGATTACCGTACATAATTAAACCCCTTAAGACCAAACTTATGTGACGACTATGGCGAAGGCTCTCTAGTATATTCCAGATATAACAAGATGTTTCTAGTTTGGCGGAGGAGCATTCTGGAAACCACCAGAATTTTAAATTTGTATATAAATATTGGTGGAGGAACAACTCAGTATCAGTTGTATATATGAATATAAATAGTGAACAGTTAAAAGACATTTGAAATATATATAAATTAGAATAGTATTGTTTAAAATAAATAAGTGTTTAAGTAAATTATTAATATAAACAAACATTACAATATTGAACACAAAACAAAATCAGCTGTTTTTTATATAAACCCCATTTCACTTATCTAGCAGTAACTTTGTAACTTAATTGGAGCATATTTATTAAATCTTGAACATATAAATGCACACATAAGTGTATTTAGTAGTAGCTTGTTTAAGAAAAAAACACATAAGAAACCATCAATCACAATAAACCTATTTATTGACCATTCTTTTTTTTATCTTTACTTCTTCCGATAGTTTTGTCATTTTTCATAAACTAGGAATTTTTACCATAGAAAAACGATTTTTACGATTACACTTCTTCTGACAGGTAAAAAGATTGCCGTAATTTTCTGCCGTAACGATACTAGCGAACCTAGCGGATGTTTGCCCTTAACTACGCCCGGTTTTGGTATGTTTTTTTCAGGGAGTTGAAACACCTTATAGTCCACCGTGATCGGAATTTCAAATTTGGACACAGATTCAAGATTTTGTTTCATTTATTTTACATCTTATTTTTTATGTCCTCGGTATCAACTGCTAAGGTTATTTGCCACCGTGATCTGTGTAGACTTTGTTACTATTTCCCAGCGCCACTTTCGAAACAGCACTGTTAATTAGAACTCAACAGTGAATAAATTTGAATTTGAAATCATTTCCTTATCTGCTTTTTTATTTATTTATTTTTATGTTTAGAGAGTATAATTTAACCTTTTTATTTTAGTGCTCTCACGGAGAAGGTCGATTCGTCTTCAAAGACGATACTATTTACTCTCAACTGGTCGACGACAATCTTGTAGCGCTACGCTACACAGACGATAACGGCGAACCAACGGAAACGTACCCTATGAATCCCAACGGCAGCATCGAAGGCTTAGCCGGCGTATGTTCATCCGATGGTAGACACTTAGCGATGATGCCGCATCCGGAACGGTGCGTCCAACCGTTCCAATGCGCGTATTTACCGCAAAGTTGGATCCATTTCAAGAAGAGTCCGTGGGAAAAGATGTTTAGGAACGCCTACGAATGGTGCAGGAAAAACAAATTCGATAATGTCTACTATTGAGAATAGGCAAAGATGGAAGACAGTCAATGGAGGTGATTTCATTTTTATTTAGTCGTCCTGGTTTAGAAAATTGTCTATTTTTTTTTAAGAAAGGAATATCGATAGTAGGAATAAGTATCGGTTATTTAAGAACATCAATTGATAATTTCGCTCATTTACGAGAATACCGGTACAACTCAAAAAATTTTAATTCAAGATAATCAAGTTTAAAAAATTGTTATAATAGCGTCGTCAAGCAAATATCATTATAATTACGGAAGCGTCGTTGTTTCTGTATAAAGAACATACCTTTTCAATTATTTGGTACAATAATCTCAGAATTGATGATTTTTGAATTGTGCCGGTATTCTCGCAATTGAGAGATTTATCTTTCATATTTTTTATAGAAATATTCAATTTTTATTTTTTATTACATTTTGAGTCGCTTTTACTGATATGTTAATTTAGTCGAAGTACGTGTTAAAATTTACTTAATTTAGTCGAAGTACGTGTTAAAATTTACTAAAAGTCGCTATTTCAGATTAATAATAAGTCATTTATTTTAACGCCTACTGCTGACTAAATAACTGCGACGATACATATCATTCCACGTCTCGCATTTTGTGCTTTAGTCTCGACAATAAAACAATTTAAATAAGAGTAATATTAAATAATTATATTTGGTCAAAAATGTCTACTTTAAATATAAAATACTTACAGCCGGTTGCGAGAACGTTTGTTAATTATTTGTCGATCCGTTAAAATCGAACTTTTGGTGCAAGAAGCAGCGTTATATACATATTTAATGACTGGAGGATCATTGCCGGACGTTTCATCTATTATTTTGCCAAAATATCAACAAAAAATAAATACAAAATGGCGGATCTAACATGGCGCCCGAAAATATTAAAAATTGCTTGTTTTGCATAAAAATAAAATCTGGAGAGTTTTTAAAGGATTTTTGCGGTCACTGCTTTTGAATATGGAATACAAATTAGAAATACAAAATGGCGGATCCAATATGGCGCTAGAAAATAATAAAAATTGCTTGTTTTGCATAATAATGAAACCTGGAGAGTTTTTATGGGGTTTTTGCGGTCACTGATTTTGCATATGACATTAAAAATTAGAAATACAAAATGGCGTGTCCAATATGGCGCTAGAAAATATAAATTGCTTGTGCATAAAAATAAAATCTGGAGTTTTTAAGTGGTTTTTGCAGTCACTGATTTTGAATATAACATTAGAAATACAAAATGGCGGATCTAATGTGGCATCTGAAAATATAAAAAATTACTTGTTATACATAAAAATTAAACATAGCAGATTTCTAAGGGGCTATAGAAGTCGTTTTTTTAGAATTCTGGAAAATTTTTATGGGGTTATTGGGATGTCGATTTTGAATATATCATTAAAATTTAGAAATACTAAATGGCGGATCCAATATGGCGTCCTGGCGTCCAAAAATATAAAAATCGTTTGTTTTGTATAAAAATTAAGCCTGGAGAATTTCTAAGAGGTTTTAGGGTCGCTGATTTTGAATATTACATTGAAAATTATAAATACAAAATGGCGGATCACATATGGCGCCGAAAATATTAAAAATTGCTTGTTCTGCATAAAAATTAAACCTGGAGAGTTTCTGAGGGGTTTTTAAAGTCTCTGATTTTATACGACATTAAAACATAAAAATGCAAAATTGGGCATCCAATATGGCGCCCGAAAATATTAAAAATCATTTGCTTAGCATAAAAATTAAACCTAGCGGATTATTTCTAAGGGGTTTTCAAAATCACTGGTTTTGAATATGATTTTAAAAATTATAAATACAAAATGGGGGCCAAAAATATTAAAAATTGTTTGTTTTTCTTCAAAATGAAACCTGGAAAGTTTCTATGGGGTTTTTGGGGTTGCCGATTTTGAATATGATATATAAATTAGAAATACAAAATATTTAAAAAATTGTTAATAAAAAATGGTCTCTGCAAATATTAAAAATTCCTTTTTTTTAAGAATTTTGGAAAGTTTTTAAAGAGTTTTTGGAATGCCAATTTTGAATATGACATTAAAAATACTAAATTGCGGATCCAATATGGCGGCCGAAAATATTATAAAAATTGCTTGTTTTGCATAAAAATTAAGCCTGGAGAATTTCTAAGAGGTTTTTAGGGTAGTTGATTTTGAATATTACATTGAAAATTATAAATACAAAATGGTGGATCACATATGGCGCCCTAAAATATTAAAAATCATTTGATTAGCATAAAAATTAAACATAGCGGATTTCCAAGGGGTGTTCAAAATCACTGGTTTTGAATATGATTTTAAAAATTATAAATAGAAAATGGCGGCCGAAAATATAAAAAAAAAATTGTTTTTCGTAAAAATGAAACATGGGGTTTTTGGGGGTTGCCGATTTTGAATTTGATAATAAAATTAGAAATTCAAAATGGCGGATCTAATATGGCACCTGAAAAGATTAAAAATCATTTGCTTAGCATAAAAATTAAACCTAGCGGATTTCTAATGCGTTTTCAAGATCACTGATTTTGAATATGATTTGAAAAATTATAAATACAAAATGGCGGCCTAAAATATTAAAAATTGTTTGTTATATTTAAAATGAAACCTTAAGAGTTTCTAGTTCGGTTTTTGGGTTTGCCGATTTTGAATGTGACATTAAAATAAATACGAAATGGCGGATCTAATATGGCGCCCGAAAATATTAAAAATAATTTGATTAGCATAAAAATTAAACCTAGCGGATTTTTATGGGGTTTTCAAAATTAATGTTTTTGAATATGATTTTAAAAATTATAAATACAAAATGGCTGCCGAACATATTATAAATTGTTTGTTTTTCTTAAAAATGAAACCTGGAGACTTTCTATGGGATCTTTAGGTTTGCCGATTTTGAATATGACATTAAAATTAGAAATACAAAATGGCGGATCCAATATGACGCCCGAAAATATTAAAAATCATTTGCTTAGCATAAAAATTAAACCTAGCGGATTTCTAAGGGTTTTTCAAAATCACTGGTTTTGAATATGATTTTAAAAATTATAAATACAAAATGGGGGCCAAAAATATTAAAAATTGTTTGTTTTTCTTCAAAATGAAACCTGGAGAGTTTCTATGGGGTTTTTGGGGTTGTGGATTTTGAATATGACATAAACACTATAAATACAAAATGGCGGATCTAATATGGCGCCCGAAAATATTAAAAATCACTTGTTTAGCATACAAATTAAACCTAGCTTATTTCTAAAGGGTTTTTGGAATCGCTGATTATGAATATGAATTTAAAAATTTTAAATTGAAAATAGTTTTCTCGAAAATGTTGTGAGCCCTCTATCTCCTAAACGAAACGGAATTTTAAAAATCATCAAAGAACAAAATATTCTTAGATTGGCCCAAGAAACAACCCCCTCAATTTTTGCCGCATGTTTAAAAACAACCTGTATATTTTACAATACACTGGGTACTAAAACTACTTACGATATCAATATAAAAATACATATTTCTGAGATATATGGCGTGTCTTAAATATACAACCTGTCTTATTTGATCATTTATTCTTTAACTATTTAACCAATCGCATCCTGATGCTTCTTGCTAGTAGAGTAATTTTGATATTATCGGATTAATAGGAATTCGATGGTTAAATAATTATTTAGTTATTAACGTTCTTGTAACCGGCTTTTAGTAGGAAAACTGGGAACTATTTCTGCTCAATATAATATTAATGTTAAGTGCTAAAATGTTCTTAATGTTAAGCTTATTTTTTACGAGGATATTTTTTTATTCTTAATTGTTAATTATACGTTGTTAGTTGTTGAATAGTTTTTTATTTCTTTCTTCATTTATTTGTCCCATTCCGACCTATTTGATATCGGTGAGGATTTCAAACAGATTTTGCGACCGAAGAAAATTTTATCGGTGAGATTGCAGAAAATGTACATCTGCAGCTTTCACGTTTGAGATCAATTCATGTTTTAATTAATTATTTAAATAACTCCTTGTACACAAAAATTTGTTTAATTATTAATTATTTTATGAATTTGTATTTATAACAAAAGCAATCCAATATGCCACTACCATCGAAGATTTGGGATTAAAGCTTTTAAGTGTGAACAACCCTGTTCATTTGAAACCGATTCGGGAACTAGAGAATGTCTATTTATTAAGGATATTAATAACAGTATTGATTATTTAATTGATACGGGTGCCGATATATCTGCCTTACCGAAACAAAATTATGCTGATAGACCTTCTAATAAAATTTTATATGCAGCAAACGGCTCACCTACAGGGTGGCCACTTTTTTAATGGGATTGTATTAGAAATTTCCAAACCATACTAGTTAGAAAGTCGGTTAAATCGAGAAAAAGTTGCCTATTTCCAAGCATAATCTAGTGGTGGAAATTAATCGAAAATAGCAGGCCCGGTTCTTGAGATATTTAGATAAAAGGAAATTCGATCTTTTCGGTTTTTTGGTTATCGTTCATTGATTTTCAGAACTACCAAAAAATATTTTAAATGTTTTTTATTTGATAGTAAATTTGTGTAAATGGAACGATATTTTTATAAATACTGTAGCTCAGTGCTACACTTTCAATGCAAAAAAAATAGATTCCATCACGAGGATTTCCTTCAATAGTGTATTTTTTTAGCTCGCGGAGGATTAAACGAACTCTCCTGCTGAGCCAGAAGGAAGGGTATATTCATCTCTTGCCGCGTTTGAGAATCCACATAGGATTCATTTTTTACATCTAGAGCGTTTTTTTATCCACATCTGTCTCATTACATTTACGCATACTGAATCACGTGATCAAAGATTTACTACATCTCAGATGCATCCGATGTGGATTCTCAAATGCGGCATCTGTCGTATTTGCTTTGTACTCTTTTTTGAAGGAACTAATAAACATAAATTGGACCTGTAGCAGTTGTCTTGTGAAATTAAAATATTGTTCAAAATGTTCAAATTTAATATTGGAGTTTGATATGATTGTGAA